CTCCAGCCTGGGCGACAGAGCGAGACTCTGTCTCAAAAAAAAAAAAAAAAGTAACAGCTATGAGGTTGGAGGGTTCAAGTGATTCTCCCGGGTTCAAGCGATTCTCCTGGGTTCAGGTGATTCTCCCGTTTCAGCCTTCCGAGTAGCTGCGATTACGGGCATGCACTACCACACCCTGCTAATTTTTGTATTTTTAGTAGAGACGAGTTTCACCATGTTGGCCAGGCTGGTCTCGAACTCCTGGCCTCAAGTGATCTGTCTGCCCTGGCCTCCTAAAGTGCCGAGATTACAGGCGTGAGCTACCATGCCTGGCCATATTTATTTATTTTTTTGAGACAGAGTCTTGCTCTGTTGCCCAGGCTGGAGTGCGGTGGTGCAATCTCAGCTCACTGCAGACTTGACCTCCCGGGCTCAAGTAATCCTCCCACCTCAGCCTCCTGAATAGCTGGGACTACAGGTGAGTGCCACCACTCCCTGCTAATTTTTGTTTTATTTTTGCAGAGATGGAGTCTGACTATGTTGTCTAGGTTGGTCTCAAACTCCTGGCTTGAAGTGATCCTCCTGCCTCAACCTCCCAAAGGGCTGGGATTCCAGGTGTGAGCCACTGTACCTGGCCCACTGTGGGCCTTCTGAGCTGGAGGAGGGGTGTGGATTTTGGTCTAAGAGTGATGTGGAGCTATGAGAGCATATTTTATTTTATTTCCTATTTTATTTTTTATTTTTAATAGATATATATTTTTGAGATGGAGTCTCGCTCTGTCACCCAGGCTGAAGTGTAGTGGCATGATCTCGACTCACTGCAACCTCCACCTCCCTGGTTCAAACGATTCTTCTGCCTCAGCCTCCCATGTAGCTGGAACTACAGGCATGTGCCACCACGCCCGGCAAATTTTTGTAGTTGTAGTAGAGACGGTGTTTCACCGTATTGGTCAGGCTAGTCTCAAACTCCTGACCTCATAATCCGCCTGCCTCGGCCTCCCAAAGTGCTGCGATTACAGGCATGAGCCACTGCGCCCAACCTTTTATTTTATTTTTTGAGACAGAGTCTTGCTCTGTCATGCCAGCTGGAGTGCAGTGGCGTGATCTTCACCTCCCGGCTTAAAGCGATTCTCCTGCTTCAGCCTCCCAAGTAGCTGAGATTACAGGCGTGCACCACCACGCCTGGCTAATTTTTGTATTTTTTTTTTTTTTTAATTTGAGACGGAGTCTTGCTCTCACCCAGGCTGGAGTGCAGTGGCGTGATCTCGGCTCACTGCAAGCTCTGCCTCCTAGGTTCACGCCATTCTCCTGCCTCAGCCTCCCGAGTAGCTGGGACCACAGGCGCCCGCCACCACACCCGGCTAACTTTTTTTTTGTATTTTTAGTA